AAATAAAAAATCAAACAATATTCATCGTTCTCTATTGCATCGATCATTAGAACTAGTAAAAATATGAGCAAATTCCATCCCCAAAATCCAAAATTTGATTTCAAAACCAAACAAAACGAACCAGTAAATCCCACTAGAAGTAGGGTCTGGGAGGTGAGATGTACCAATACTAATCTCTACCCCAAAGAGCAGCGAGCTTAGTTTACTAGTAGATTAGAATTAGATGATACCTTGTTTGCAAAAACATAAGACAGCCGTTTGATATTGATAAACCTCCTATTTGTTTTACTTACAGGAGGAGGGGTTAGTGGGTAAAGGGTCTTAGCTGTTATTGTAAATAAGTGAAGGGTATTTTTGGTACTCTTGGGTAGAATAAGGCGGCAAGTCTCCTTTAAGTGGAGCTGGGTTGTTAGTAGTTGGGATATTCTGTTTTTGATATTTTCAAAGTGAGTGTAAACTCTTTGGGAGAGAACCAGACCTCTCGAAAGTCTGGAATCATCCATTTTCTGTTTTGATTGCAATATACAACCGACAATTGCTGTCAGTTTACATCAAATTGGTAACAGAGCGGTAAGATCCAGCCATGGCGACAAGGAGTGCGGCAACAAGAATTGAAGATTTAGAAAGTAGCGTCAGTTCGATCGAGAAAAGTTTGGAACGAATTGTACAGCAGATTGAGAAATTAAGCAGCGATGTGGCTAGTAAATTGAATTCAACAGGTTCGTTGGATGGAGAAGACGTGGACGATTCAGGAAGATCTAAGAGAAGGAACGATGAAAAACAGGAATCGAGTCGATTCCTAGCTGTGAAAGGCCGGAAGCTTGAAATTCCAGCGTTTGACGGAAGCGATCCAGACGGTTGGGTTCTCAGAGCAGAACGCTATTTTTCATTGAATCGATTATCATTTATCATAGGAAGAAAAAATTGATGTTGCTTTCATAGCATTTGAAGGAGCAGCTTTGAAATGGTTTCAATGGGAGAATAGACGTCATCCAATTTTACGTTGGGAGGATCTACGTAGATTGATTTTGCGTCAATTCCGATCAATGGCGGCAGGAACTTTATGCGAACAATTTCTGGCTGTTAAACAAGAAGGTACGGTGGAGGAATTTAAGATGAAATTCGTGGAGTTGGCTGCACCATTAGAAGGAATTCCAGAGGAAGTGTTTATGAGTCAATTCATAAACGGTTTGGAAAATTCAATTAAGTCGGAGGTACGTCTCTTAAGTCCAGTAACGTTGGAGGAAGCAATGGAATTAGCAATAAAAATTGAAGTGAAGAATGTTGTAATTGCAAAAGAAAGGTCGATGTCTGGATCGAAGAAATCGGTAGCTACGTTTGCCGGTAATAGGAGTATCTTCGTAGTAATAATTCAGGGAATAATTCAAATACGGTGGGTAATTCGACGAACCGAACGGGATCTGAATACAGAAGAAATCTGTTAGTTTGCTGGAAATACTTGGAGAAAGATTCTTCCTTTGCACAACAACATCCTTTGGGTTGAAAGCATATTGAGCACTGCTAAAGATACAGATTAACCATAATTAGAAAACAACAAATATATATATTTTATATATATATATATATATATATATGTTTGTGTGTGTAGAGGAAGGATCATGCGAGAAATTGAACATTTTGCGAGAACGCGAGAAGTTTCAATATCATATATGTGTTTAATCATATATGATTTAACGTATATGTGTGTCAATGCAACATGTGTTTAATCATATATGATTAAGCTTGTGTATCATGCGTATAATCATATATATGTGTGTGTATATAACGAAAGAGCATCAAGAGAGAACTTACGCATCCACATTTTGTTCATGTGAGGAGCGTGAAGACGAATTACCCACGAATGTTGATTGCCTAATCCTACATGTCATTCAAGAAACTATTAGATTAAGGAAATCCATATAAGAACAAATTCACTATACAAAAAATTGCTAAAAAGTAACAAAGAAAATGCTACTGTCCCCTGAAACTTGTAATATATTGTGTGAAGTTCTTTATTCTACTTCTGATGTGATCAATTTTTCATAGGTGTATTAAATGGCACTTGAGACATTTCACTAGTTACGGGTAAATTCGGGAAACATTTAAACCAAATTACCTATTTGTATAATATAAATGTTACAATAACAATAAATAGTTTGGGCCCACAATATATTCTTACTTGGTCTTTATTAAATGGCACTTGAGACATTTCACTAATAGTCAAAACATATTTAATAAAATATTGCAAATTTCATAGGATGAAGGGAGTAGAAGCTGCATATGATAAAATTGAAAAAATATGCAAATTCAAGCTAACAAAGAGCATAAACTAGCAATATACATGCATTACAGTTGCTTCAACACATGATGCAGATCAAGCAAAGCTTATTTCACAAACAATCATCTTGCAACAAACATGGTGCTACAATAATTTTTGCCAAAATTCAAAATGTGAAAAATCCCAGTATGCCCTTGAAGATTGAAAGGGTCTCACCTCGTTAGTTCATCATCTTGTACAACTGGCACTGGAGCCGTCTTGGAGAAGAGCAAACTGTGGTGACTAATACCAGCTATACCAAGAGATTCCAAAAACTTTGTGTGCACTTTAAGAGATGGATCCCTACAATAAAGTGAATCAAAAGCCAAATATCATCATTATCCACTTAAATAATTCAACAGGCTGAAAATAGATCAGCTGAAAATAAGTAACTTAAGAGCATTCACAATGGTAAGATTTTTTAATTTAAGCTTTTTCCAAAAGAGTGGGTCCCACAAACTTAGGTGGGACCCACAAACTTATCGTAGCTTGTCAGGCAGTTTTTCATAATCTTAGGTGGCAAAAAAAAGCTTTCCAAAAAGCTATTGAAGAAAGTTCATTATGGATGCTCTAATGCCCATAATATTGCAAAGAACATATAATCTAGAATATAAAACCGCTGTTCTGCAAAAAAATCCAAAACTAAATCATTTGAATCACACTAGCAACATGTATCAAATGAAAGGATTAAAAGATCAATGATCAAAGAAACTACGAACATTTTGTGTTCACGATCATGCTCTTCAAGCAACTGTTGTTGAGTTGGAGAAACATCAAAACCCTGTTTGGGGATACTGAAAAGCTCCCTAAGATCCTGAGATAACAAACAAGCACACTGACTCGTGAGTGCTGTTTCCCGAAGATGGTTATGGCCATAATGGCCAACTCGAAATGGGAACTGCTAAGTAATAAAATAACAAAACTGTCCAACTTTTTGGCACTCACCTGTTGACTAAAATAGCGAATTTGCTCTTTGTGTTCTGTAGCACTTCTGAATAAGCCCCCTTTGTATATCTATCTCATGAAGCTTAAGCAATCAGATATGAAGAAGAACTATTAAAGACAACATCATATTAAATATTGAATCATGTTAACCTGCTTTCTATATATCTTTTCTTCCACAGTACCACAAGTCATCAAACGGTACACAATAACATCCTTCTTCTGTCCAATACGATATGCACGATCAACGCTTTGATTATCAGTGCTGCAAAAAAATTAAAAGCCAAAAGTGTCACTGGGTTTGATTTCAAATGCACTTGACCATACTAATTAAAAGTTAGAAGTTCTTAAAATAGATTGTGCTTATTTGGCTAGAAGTTTTATTTCGTACATGGTGGATGGTATTGCTTTTCAGGTATCTAAAAGAACCAAAAAGAAGGCACCAACGCTTTGGGTAAAATCCAGGTCCTCATGCGTCCAACTGCTCCCTGCTTTCGAGCGGGATATACATGGTTTGTTTGGCTTGATTTGGTTTCTTCAAGTATCTAAGGGTGCATTTGGGACACAAACGGGCAAGAATAAGGTAGGCAGGTGAAAGAACTTCGCAAGTTTTAGGGTTTTCATTTGACATGTTAGTTTAGTAATTTACAATCTAGTCCATTCCCCAGATTTTGGTTCCACCTATTTTGGTGGGACAAAAAAATGYTTTTTTATCTCACTCAGTCCTGTCCTAACTGGCTAACTCCTATCCCAGTCTTAATGTTGCACCAAACATGGGTACAAGTTTTTGTTCTATCATGTCTCGTATTGTCCCTTCGTACCAAACACACCCTAAGAAGTTGTATACTGCCTAACTGAGTTTGTACAAATGATAGCGACTTCCTAAGGATAACCTGGAGGCCCTGAGTTCAAATCCCACCCTTGAGCCTGATAATTAGTGAATTACTAAGTTGTCTTCTCGAAATTGGGGAGAAAAAAAATAGAAAAGAATTGGATGGAAAAGAGAGGGAGGGAAGAGAAAGGAAAGAAAATAATTTTTTTATTTGTGTTCTTGAAAGGGAAGAAAAAGGAAAGAAAGGAAAAGGAAGAAAATAATTTCTCACATTCTTGAACAAAAGAGAAGGAAAAGAAAGATTCTTTTTTACAAATATACCTTTTAAAAAATAATGAAAAGTTGGGTAGTCCTGTAACTTCAATAATCTTTTCAAAGGGTTTTAATTTCTTTCCTTTCCATCCCTTTCCTCCCAAATTTGGAAAGAAAATTATGGGGAGGAACTTATAATTATTTTCCTTCCGTTTCCTTCCCTTTCTCTCCTAAAAGAATTTCGAGAACACACGTTTTTTTACTTTCCCTCCCTTTCCTTCTTTGTAAAGAAGGTTTTGAGAACACAGCGTATGAGTGCATAAATGGGCAGGCATCAGATATTTCATCCCCAAATGTGGTTTATGAGGTCTTCCCTAAAGATGTTCTAGAATATTTCAAAATAACAACCAAAACAAAACAGGTATATTTCTCTCATCCCATAAAAGTGTCCACGTTTTTATTTTTGTTCGTCCCAAAATAAGTGTCCACTTTTAAGTAAGTGTCTACGTTCCAATTTCATCCTAAATTTATGAGATGAAGAAATTCATTGCTCCCACTACTACTAAGGTAAAATTGTCATTTAGCTAATTAATAAGCATAATAAATAAATTATGTGCCTTTTTTCATGGTGGACATTTATTTTGGGACAGAGGACGTTTCATGTTTAAKGGATTTATAGAGCTTCTAAATGTAGATAWCATTTTTCTGAAGAAACGTTATTTTGCAAAACAAGATTCAGCACAATCTAAGTGAAAAGAGCAACCTCGGGTTCCAAGCTGGATCAACCACAATGACACGATCTGCCTTCGTAAGGGTAAGTCCCAGACCACCAACTTGAGAAGTCAAAAGAAATAYTGGAGCTCCAACACCCTCTTGAAAATCCTGTTATTGATATAATGTCATATTTACACTGAATAAAATAAATTCAATGGATAAGTACAAGAAAAATACCGACGTTGACTATCTTTAATCTGTCGGTAGCTTTGGTAGTACCATCTATCCGCAATAACTTGTAGCCTCTGGCAGTAAGAGTATCCTAAGCACAAGGGACGGGAAAAGAAGCAAACATTCATAACTGCAGGTAAAATTGAAAAAAAAAAAAACAGTATCTGCTTAAAAATATGCAAGATATAGATGACGGTGTTTGTACAAAATGATATACTAATATTACTGTAGTATCATTCACGGAAACATCCGCTCTACACTTTTGGGGCAGAGACATGTCTGCATATATCTCACCCTTCAGACCCTACTTTCCAGCAGGATTTTTATTTAAACAAAATAAAATAACTAATTTGCTAAGTGAACATCCTACTTCATAAAGATAAACCAATTTGGAGCAAACCTGAATAAGATTAAGCATTTTGCGGGTCTGGGAAAAGATAAGAACATTATGACCCTTTGGAATCAGATCATCCTGTTACAGAATAAAAAGAAACCCATCACACATGCTGCTATAAAACACGCCCATTCAACTGATCGAAAGCATGTCATATTCTAACCAGCAATGATACAATAAAGGAGATCTTGCATGAGAGAATGTCATGATTTTCTCCAATGTCATATCTATCAGCCACATCTGCTATGTGCATTGCCAATCTTTCAGCAACCCCATGATCCTCCTGATTTAGCACTGATTCTATTCCTTCTAATACATCTTCAGCGGCTCTCTTTGTTAACAGAAGTGGATGATCACATATCTTTTTCAATATCTACATCAGAACAGAAAGAAAATGTATGTAAGCATAAACATAAAAGTGAATTACCCATGATCTCAACATATCTAAAATATATATCTAGAAGCATAATAAAATGAGAACCTCAAAATTGCTGAAAACATTGAGAACCATTGAACCATGTCTTGTTTCATCATCTGAAACAATACATGTGAAACATATAGTATTGTTTCACATTATGAAACAAACAATACATAAGTTTCAAATTGTGAAACAAATACATGGAGATTGCTTCTAACATTTTTGAGGTTCTCACTTGATTTTCTCCATGCATACACACACATATGTAGTGTCTGTCAACTTCACAGGGGTATATCCCTTCAAATAGGACACAGGGTACAATGAGAGGTACAAACAAGAAATGAATATTCGTTTAAAAAACAAGAATAATGGACATAAACTAAAGACCTGACTTCATTTTAGAACATAGGATACAATAAGAATTTGAAGACGCTATAAACACCAAAAACAAGACGGTAACAAAATAGAAGTAAAAGATAAACCAGTGACAATACCGTGAGAGCAGCCAAAGGTGAACCATCAAAGGCTGAAAGAACAATCTCACTATTCAAAAAGGCTTCGTATAGTTGACGCTGCAGCCAAAAGAGATGAACACAGTACAAGAATGTAAGTGGTACTTTAAAAGACATGATGAACAAATCAAAGAAACATGCACCAACTTTAAGTGCAAGTCTTAAAGTGATCAATTCTTATTCTTGTTACCTGGCAAGCAGACAATCTTAACCACACAATCATCTCATTCTTTTTAGAAAGCTTGGCAGTATTTGTAGCATCGTCATCACGAAACACCTCACTTTTTAGGCGTCGAAGAAAATAGGGCTGAATGCATGTTCTTAAATCCTGCATTAAGTTAGATGTATGGTTAATGGTCCGTACTAAAGACCATTCAGTAGCCACGACTGAGACTTCAACAATTTAGAAAACACAAAGTGTCAACAAAACCGAAGGACTAAAATAGAAAAATGTGCAAAATGATGCACAGCACATTCGAGGTTGCAGTAACACGAGCATGAATACATGCAATGTCAAAGGTTAACACAGAGCTACACCAAGAAAAATCCATTTATATTAAATAAATAACCCATTATGGACCACTTAATCAAAAATGACCCATTATCCATTTAGCTATAATGAAACTCATTATGACCCACTTAGACTAATTAAGGAGAAAAAAGCCCCATTATACTGAATTATTCCAAAACAACCCATTAAGTACCACTTAGACCCGTTATACCTCAATAAGATCCATTTAGGTCTAATCAGACACATGATGACTCGCTTAGTCCCATTATGACCTACTTAGACTYATCAAGAWTARTATGACCTATTATAGCCAMAAATACCAAAACAAGCCATTAAGGACCACTAAGACCTGTTAGACCTCAATTAGATCCATTTAGCTCTAATAAGAAACAATATGACCCACTTAGTCTCGTTATGTCCCACTTAAACTAATTTAGGAGAATAATACACATTATAACGACTTATTCCAAAAC